CTAAAGTCCAGCTTTTTTCTCTGAGTTCTGCCACAGTTAGAACTACAGTGATGCGTTTTTGTAGTCCTAATCAGCTGGCCCTGCTGTGTTCCGTTGCTATGGTAATGGATCCTCTGCCAGCTGTGAGTCAGACAGGGGGATTTTTTTTTCTTTTTTTAGAATAGATTTTTATTGAGAATCAGATGTATTTGTATATTTAGTGCAATTCTGTATAAGGCATATCTAGTAGAGGCATATTTAAAGTGGAAATATAAAGTAACATTGACAATAAAAGATTAGTATTACAATTAGTAATAGTGTAACAGTAGCTAACAAAGGCAGCAAGGGGATTCATAAATTAGGATTAATATACATCAGTGGGCAATTCCATTAATATTTCAGTCAGGGATTCATATGAATCAATGAAGGATTTCAAGGATTTCAAATATAACTGGAATTCAGATAAAAAGATGTTAAAGACTGGGGATGATCTCAGCACTCTTTGTTTATGAATAAAGAATTTTGCCAAACAAAATATTAAGTTACAACAGAGTTCCATAGTTTTGTTTATTAATAATACTCCAAAAGTTACCATATCTCTAGAAATAGATTCAGGAAGTGTGAATTTGGAACTGATCCATCTTTCTAAGCAAATCCAAAATGTTTTGGTTTGGTTGCATTCATAAAAGATGTGGTCAATCGTTTCAATATCCCGTTCACAAAAGGAGCACTTATTGTCATCAATATTAAATCGATTTTTTAATAATTCTTTTGAAGGGTAAATTGCATTTAAAATTTTAAAGTGTGTTTCTTTAGCTTTAGGTTGAATAGGGAGTTTAAGATAAAGGGATCTTAACCTCTCAATTGATTTATTATCAAACTTGCAAAGAATGTTATTTCTATTTATTTTCCCAGGGAACAAAGTATTGTTTAGACAGTTTCTAATTGTGCGGTTATTAAACTTTTGGTCAGTGAATAAAATTCCATTAATAAATAAATTGGGTAATTGTGGGGTCATCGGATTATATGTTATCAAATTTTTACCTGGTTAATAAATTGTTTTGGAAAGGCATTAACTAATTTGGTAAATTCAGCTCTTGGGGGAAAGAATTGATATTGTTCACATAGTTGTTCATAGTTTAACATGCAACCATTAGCATCCATTAAGTGTATAATAGACCAAATATTCTTCTCCATCCAATCCTTGTAAAATAAGTATTTACTGCGATGTAATATGAATCTGTTATTCCATATGATAGAGGAGTGTGGTGAGTAGTTATGTACATAGAGCATTTTCCAGTATAGTAATACCTGTTTATGGAACTCTGATAGTTTAATTGGCAATTTATGAATATTGAAATCAGCTAGAAGTACAAGTTATAAACCACCAATTTTGTTAAATACATAATTAGGGATGCAATACCAAAATATTTGAGGATTTTTAACCCAGGATTTCAACCAATTAATCTTAAGGGTTTCGTTAAGGCTTTCGAAGTCAATTACTTTCAGACCGCCATCTTTGATTTCTTTCACCATATGACTTTTCCATAAGTAGTGTGGCCTGTTCCTCCAAATAAAGTTCATGTTCATTTGGTTAATAGTTTTAGTTAAACTATTTGGGATAGCAGTGCTATAGGTTGAATAAATTAATCTTGATAAGCTTTCCATTTTTGTTAAATAAATGCGTCCTAAAATAGAGAGGTCTCGTTGAAGCCATGAGTTAAGTTTGGATTTACATTCTTTAATCTTGTTTTCAATAGTTGAGGTTGATTCTTGGGTTTTGGTTATTACAGTTCCCAAGTATTTAATTTCAGATTTAATTGGAATGCTGGATATTTCTTTTAGGGTAGTGTCATGGATGGCTAAAAGTTCACATTTTTTTAGATTTAATGTTAGTCCTGAAGCCTCAGAGAAAAATTTTATTTTATCAATTATAATTGGAACCTGTTTGTCATTTTTTAAGAAAACGGTGGTGTCATCTGCTAACTGGCTATTGATTAATTCTGTACCAAAAACATCTAATTTCTCAATGTCTGCACAGTTTTTAAGATAGATTGCTAACATTTCTGCAACTAAATTAAACAGATATGGGGAGATGGGACACCCTTGAGGAATACCAACATTATATTAAATCTGGCTGTGGTGCCTTTAGGTAGTAATACACAACTATTAGTGTTTTGATATAAACCTCGAATTAAGTTAATAAAATTGGCTCCAAAACCAAAATGTTCAAGAACTGAGAATAAGAACTGATGTTCCACCGAGTCAAAGGCTTTATAAAAGTCAAGAAAAAGAATAAAGCCATCATCTTGGATCATATCCCTATATTCAATCAGGTCCTTCACCAGCCTAATATTGTTGTGGATTGACCTTCCTTTTAAGAAGCCAGATTGTGAATCTGCAATAATGTTTGAGATTCCTGTTTGGAGACGCATGGTAAATATGTAAGTTAGTAATTTATAATCAGAATTTCTGAGTGTGATAGGTCTTCTATTCTCAATAAATCTAGGGTCCTTGTCTGGTTTGGGGATACATATAATAATTCCTTGATTCATTGTAGTAGGTATAGAATGATTTTTAAAAATTTCTGTAAAAACTTGATGCAGTAATATTTCAATGTCCGCCCAAAAGTGTTTATAAAAGTTTCCCGTAAGTCCATCTGGATCCGGTGCTTTATTCATTGATAAGCGATTAACAGCCTTATCAAGTTCTTCTATTGTAATTTTGTTGTCACAAGTTTTTTTGTAGTCATCCTCTATTTTAGGGATAAATGTTTCAATTTGTTTGAAAAAGGTGTAAGACTTTGGTTCTGAGAATTTGGAGGTATACAATTTATTATAGAATTTCAAAATTTCAATTGATATTAACTTTTCATTGTTGGTTTCTACATTATTTATTATTAAGGATTTGATAGAATTTTGTTGTTGTCTTCTACTTTCAAGATTACAAAAGTAGGCCGTGTTTTTTTCTCCTTCTTCGATCCACTTCGCTCTTGATCTAATAAAAGCCCCTTTGGCCCTCTGGATATACATTTCATCTAGTTTGGGTTGGAGGATTCGTATTTTTTGTTTGTCTTCCATTGAAGGATTGGGCTTATTGCAATATAAATTTAGTTGTTGTACAATATCTAGTTCTTTATTTTGGATTTCTTTTTTAATTTGTTTACTGAATGAGATAGAAACTTGTCTGATCTTGTACTTCAAGAATTCCCATTTTTGGACAGGACTACTTAATTCTTCAGAGTTCTTAATATTTTGGATTAATTCTTTGATTTCTTGGCAGTCGGAGTCATTTTTAAGGAGACTGCAGTTGAATTTCCAATATTTACTTGAACCTGATTTCCAGTTTTGAGGTTTCATTTTTAAGGAAATAAGGCTATGGTCAGTCAACGGTGCAGCAGAGATATCTGATTTAATTTTATTAGATAATAATTCATTTGTTATAAGCCAATAATCAAGTCTTGACTTGCTATTTGAGCCAAACCATGAAAATTGAATGCAGTTGGGGTTAAGATGTCGCCATACGTCAACTAGATTTTGTTCACTGCAGAAATTGTTAAAAATTTTGTTAGGGTAACTTGAGTTATGTTTAGAGGGCCATCTATCAAAAAATTCATCATAAGCAAGATTGAGATCCCCACCAATTATAATATTGTTTGTTGAATAAAATAATTTTAGGTGATCTAAGTTTAGGGTTATTTCTTCAAGTAATAATTTGTTCTACAGAAATAAGCTTCATCTCCCCATTGTTTAGACCAAAAGACGCTATCTTCTTGTTTAGAATGAGTTTCTTGTAAGAATATTAAATTTGCGTTTTTCCCTTTACAGAATAAAAAGAAACTTTTCCTTTTAGTCAATTCTCTTAGGCCCCTTGCATTAATAGAAATTAATGAAAGATGACTTTTCAAGTTAAACATAGAAAATTAACGACACAAAGTAAAAGGTTGAACAGTATTTGAATGGGTTTACCGAGTCAGACAGGGGGAGACATAATTCTATCAGTTTGAGGCAGCCATTTTCCCTAAAATAGGCATGAGCCAGAAAGGAATCTTAAGGCTTTTATTTTGAAAATTTCAGTAAGCCTCGTTTTAAATGTCCAATCTATTCAGATGAGTAACAGTGATTGGGTTAAATCAGTTCTAAAATTCTCCAAACAGCAATTGATATAAAAATTGTCAAGGCTTTTATTTTGAAATTTTCATTAAGCTTAATTTTTAATGGCAACACTAATTCCATGTGTAACTATGGTGTTTTTAAATCAGTTCTAAAATTCCCAAAAAACAAGGACTTGTCATGGCCAGCTCATTTCTCCTCAGTAGTAACTGACAGTTCTGGCATGTTGTAGTTCTGCCAATCAGCTCAGACTTCCTCTGTAGGCACAGAGTGTTCCGCCATGTTGTAGTCCTACCCTGCAGTCATTGTAGTTCTAAAGAGAAGGTCAACTTTCATGTCAGTGTGACACACAAAAAGAGACTTAATTCTAAATGCTTGAAGCAGTTAGTTTTTCTGAAAAGCCTGAGAGAAATATTCAGCTTTTATTTGAAATTTTCATTAAGCTTAATGTAAAATTGACATACTAATCCCATTTCAATCTGGAGAGACTCACACAGAGAAGAGAATAGCAGTTAGAGATTTAATGATACAGAATCTTTGGCGCTCGGCCCCGGCTGAAGACTGTGAGTCGCGGATCACCGCGGGCAGGACATCAGCTCGGCCGAGCTCGGACAGTCTTCCCCGGGGCCGGAACCGGTGGTGGAGCTGGGTGCAGAAGAATCCTGGAAACATCCATCAGAACGGAGGTGGAGAAGAGGGGAGGAGGTGGGTTGTGCACAGCGACGAGCGGGTTGACCCTCTGCTAGCTTGGCTTTTGAAGACGGTCCTGGATGATGATAGGCCCAAAGCGGAGAGTTGCTTCAGCCCTGATTGGTTGAGGTAGGACGTGGCGATTGCGAGATGAATGTCAGCTGGATCGAGTCTCCCAGGTTGAATTTACGCCTAAGCTTCATTTCAATCTGGAGAGACTCACACAGAGAAGAGAATAGCAGTTAGAGATTTAATGATACAGAATCTTTGGCGCTCGGCCCCGGCTGAAGACTGTGAGTCGCGGCCGAGCTCGGACAGTCTTCCCCCCAAAGAGAGGGTGCCGGGCCGAGGCCCGTTGGCCTGCAGTCTGACGAGACTGACAGGCAGACAGCGCATGAGACCCTGCAGTCTGGCGACGTCGGCTCGACAGCGGAAGGTGCTGCAGTCGGGGACTAGGAGCGACCGCGTCGCTGGAGCCTGGTCAGCCGACACGGGCGAGGCTGCCGTTGCTAGGCCTGCAGTCGCGAGACTGAGGTTCTGGTGGGCCTGCAGCCTGACTAGGCTGACAGGCAGACAGCGCATGAGACCCTGCAGTCTGGCGACGTCGGCTCGACAGCGGAAGGTGCTGCAGTCGGGGACTAGGAGCGACCGCGTCGCTGGAGCCTGGTCAGCCGACGCGGGCGAGGCTGCCGTTGCTAGGCCTGCAGTCGCGAGACTGAGGTTCTGGTGGGCCTGCAGCCTGACTAGGCTGATGGGCGTTGAAGGGCCCGCAGACTGGCGAGACTGATAGGCACTGGTAGCCTGCAGACTGGCGAGACTGATAGGCGATGATGAGCCTGCAGCTTGGCGAGACTGATAGGCACTGATGGCCTGCAGACTGCCAAGACTGATAGGCGCTGTTGCCTGCAGTCGGCAAGACTGGTAGGCGCTGGGGGCCTGCAGCCGGGCAAGACTGGTAGGCACGATAGCCTGCAGACTGGCGAGACTGATAGGCGCTGGCGGGCCTGCAGCCTGGCAGGCTGATAGGCGCCGGTGGGCCTGCAGCCTGGCGAGACTGATAGGCACTGTTAGCCTGCAGTCTGGCGAGACTGGTAGGCGCGGTAAGCCTGCAGCCTGCAAACTGATAGGCACTGTTAGCCTGCAGTCTGCAAGACTGATAGGCGCTGATGCCTGCAGCCTGACGAGGCTGATAGGCGCTGGAGGGCCTGCAATCTGACAAGACTGATAGGCACGTTAGCCTGCAATCTGACGAGACTGATAGGCACCGTTGGGCCTGCAATCTGACGAGACTGATAGGCACCGTTGGGCCTGCAGCCTGACTAGGCTGATAGGCGCTGGTGGGCCTGCAGCCTGACTAGGCTGATAGGCGCTGGTGGGCCTGCAGCCTGACTAAGGCGCTGATAGGCGCTGGTGGGCCTACAGCCTGACTAGGCTGATAGGCGCTGGTGGGCCTGCAGCCTGACAGGGCTGATAGGTGTTGGTGGATGAGTCAGCACGCCGGGCAGCCCAGATTGACCCGGCCGACGGGCCGGCGGACCCTAGAAGAAATGAGAGTTAGGAAAGCTATTCTCCACCACCGGTTATTTGACAGGAAACTCACTTTGCTGACATAGTCGTCGAGCTTCGAGCACGCTGAAAGTTCTGGTCTGGCAGAACGGAAGGCTGAGGTCGGCCAGCGGCCGAGCAGCAGAGAGAAGCTGTAGGAACACTTCGGACAGCGGTGATGCCGAACCGCCTGTGTAAGCGAAATAGATGGTAGCGCCTTTCGTTTAGAGCTTAGAGAGGCAGTTGTACTCGCCAGGGAAGATTGCGAACGGAAGTTTGGCTCGACGATCATCAAGACGGCGAGCGATGAAAGTGTGAATGGTGGCTATTCTGAAGGAATAAGGAGGAAGAGTTTGTAGCGGGCAGAACTTGGTGCCGGGTTGCCGGGTGAACATTAACGAGGAAGGAGTAAATAGGGCGAAGCCCGATTTGGTGCAATACGAGCTGAAATGCGGGAAGAAATGTGGAGAGTTATTTAGTCGAGCGTCGGTTCTAAAAGATGATTAGGTCAGGGAGAGCGATGGCGGTGGGATGCAGGCAGCGAAAGACCTGGCTCCTTTCATAGGCCGAGCAAGTTCTACCAGGCATGCAGAAGAGAAAATGAATGAAAGGTACAATTCTGATCAACATAATTATTTCTAATTTGTCCAGCAAATGGTAGCGGGAGACCATGAGAGAGCCGAGAGCCGTAAGCATGGCTTGAGGCTTTACATTACCTTAAACGCATTCGAGTTGCACGTATATATGAAACCTGCTGAATTAGTAGTGAGACTTATGTTAATTTCCAGACTCGGGTGATTATGCTGACGACTTACTTGTTTAGCGAATAAGTCTCTAGAGGTCTTAGACGCAAGAGGTTGTTAGCGGCTTGAGTTAAAGACGATCCAGTGGCAGCCGCTTAACTTTGTCGGCTTCCTGAGTTTCTCGAATTCTTGGAGCAATTATATTGAATTGAGGGATTGAATCGAGCTGGATTGTTAAGAGACGAGCCGGCTTATGGAATGCGGCCCACCAAAATAATCGGAACCGTCACCCGTCCTGTAAAAACCCCCCAAAAAAGGGGATGTTCAGAAGGTGCGAAAATAGGGGAAGAACGAGACAGGATACCTACAGGAGCCGAAACGAGAGCAAGACGCCGCACCATGAGTCGACATTGGGCTGGCGATCGCTGGAACGCCAGAGAAAGATAGTCACTTGATCGGCTGAAGGGTGCAACTGAGACTGAAGTGGGGAGGACTGCCGCGAGCTCCAGCCGCGATTGCCCGCAGAAGCCACGACAGCATGAGTGACCTTTGCGTCGTGGGGAAAGAATTGGCCGGGTCGATGTGTACGTGTGTCGAACTGACGGCATGTACAGTTGATGGACTCCTTAATGCATGGCAGTGCATGCGACTCCTTGAAACGAGACGGAACTGACAGACGAGGATGCTCATGAGGCTGAATCGCGTCGAGGCGAAGCTGATTGAGGTGATCGGAGCACGCTGCTCGGAGAGCCAACGCTGATTGTTAGACTAAACATTCTTCATTTGAAACTAAACATTTATCTCCAGAGGCCAGTTCAGTTATAGCAAGCATCAGAGACGAAGAGTCTGATTCCTGAACATCGGTTGAATCTACAACACTGAAGAAACTCCCGATCCTACCAAGTATTTTACATTTGCGGTTGACGCGGGGAGGAACGTATGGTAGATGCAGAAAGGCCATGGGATTAGGGCCTGCGAGCGGCTTCTGACGATGATGAGAACCATTCTGCCATGTTCTGGGACAGATCCGTGAAGTGCTACGTTGGCCCAATGAGGTGGGCTGAGAACCGTCCGCCCCAATTAGAGCAGTGGAAGCTGTCAGTGTGGCTTAATGATGGACGGGGCTGCTGCTTGGACATATGACCGCTGCTATCGCTGCCTGATGGGCGTGGGTTCTTGTCTGCGGGCAAACGGGATCTTCTAACCACCAGTGCAATGGCTGAGTGATTTTTTTTTTTTTTTTTTTTTTTTATAATTCCCTACGTGTTGATTATCATGTAACCACGAAAGAGAACGAAGTGCATATGAGCCAAATTTTGCCGAAACCGACTCTCGTGACGAACATGTCGGTTCACCATGAATTCGGTGAGTAGATAACAGACGCGAGAAGCAAAGACGCGAACCTGACCCGCTTAGAAAACGAAATCGCCTTGAGCGCCACTCTCGGCGGCCAACGTGAGCCGCACCGGAGATCGACCAACTACAGCTGCTGAAATGAGGAAATAGACGGAATAACGCGAAGTAATAAAGATATTCAAACCGCGCAACCCCTAAAATAAGAAAGCAGCAACGGTGGACCAATACCCTTATCGAACGAACACCCGGACACGTCCATAAACGTTAAAGAACCCGTTCTCCCGATGACATTCTGTTAAAGAAGCCGAAGCTGTGACAAGCGGCCGGCGGGCCTCTGGGTTAAAGAGCAGGGTGAGCCGAGGAGCGAAACTGGGGCTCTGGACAGGACGGAGCGATTTAAGCGAGCAAAGAGGAGAGGGCCGCGGCGCTCGCGGCCAGAATGGGCTGAACGAAGAACCGAGATGGGCTGAAACCAGGACGCTGCTTGCACAAAGCGTTGCGATGTCTCTGAGACGCACAGACTGACCCGCACGGGTGAGACGAAACATGAGTTGAAGTACTGATGCGCTGACAGAGCTGAGCGAACGGCTGATGAACTGGACAGGAGCGGGTACTCTTACCTGGCAAACGCCCTCGATGGGCGGGAGAGGTTACAGTATGAGGCTGAAGAGCCGGCTGGGAGCCGAGACATGCGGAAGTGAGCGCAGTGGTCGGAGGCAGCGTTCTGCCGGAGACAAACAGGAGGAGACTGTCCAGGTAGTGAAGCAAATCCGTGGTGAGAGGAGCGGGAGAGCAGGAGGAACCAAGGCAGGTCGTGGGACGACCTGCGCACGACTGCGGGGGCGGCGTCGGAGAGCCGCAGCAATTAAGCGAACGTGAGCCGGAGCGGGGAACCAGGCGGATGACGGACTACGTCCACGACATGTAGAGGTGAATTTCTGCTTCGCCGCCGCCGTTGGAGGCTAAAGGAGGGCGAGGTTCGCAGATGGATCGGAGGGAAGCCGCTGGGAGACAACAGAAGTGCAGCCGGCGGCCGAGGTATAATCCTTGGACCTGGGCGGTAAAAGAAGGAAAGGACGATCGGTGATCCTCCTGCGGACCAGGGAGTGACGGGAGGCTGCCGAGACCAGCTAGCTGAACGTCGGAACGTAAAAAGAGGCACGGCTGACGCGCTGGTTGTGCACAGCGACGAGCGGGTTGACCCTCTGCTAGCTTGGCTTTTGAAGACGGTCCTGGATGATGATAGGCCAAAGCGGAGAGTTGCTCCAGCCCTGATTGGTTGAGGTAGGACGTGGCGATTGCGAGATGAATGTCAGCTGGATCGAGTCTCCCAGGTTGAATTTACGCCTAAGCTTCATGTGTGACAATGGTGGTTAAAATCAGTTATAAAATGCCCAAAAAACACAAGCAGTTCTAAAGGCCAGCTCCTTCCTCAGAGCTCTGCCACAGTAAAACTACAGTGATGCGTTTTTGTAGTTCTAATTTATAATTCTAAGGCCAGCTCAGTCCTCAGAGCTCTGCCATAGTTAAAACTACAGTGATGCGTTTTTGTAGTTTCTAATCAGCTGCTCGCCCTGCTGTGCTTCGTTGCTACGGTAATTAATCCTCTGCAACTGTCATGTGTGTGAGACAGAAAGAATTCTATCTTTGAGAGACACCCAGTCAGTTTTGACTGAAAAAAGCAGTCCGAACAACTCTTCCCGTTCTGAAACCGTGATACGTATCGGAAAAAACCGTTTTAAGCGTATGAGAGGGCTATCTTCGTCTCTGATAGTCCCGCAATTCATATCTGTACATCACTCACAGTAATAAACGCGACGAGATAAAATGGTGTGCGCTGAGGTCTGACATTTTTCAGAAATACATGGAAGTGAACCTGCTGAGCGAGTGGAAATCTGTCGCATCACTTTGCTCTGAAGCCCCTAGACAAAAAAACCGTAAGCCTAGAAAAATTTTGAAAACATTTCACCGGAGCAGGCATGCGTATCTATGTCATGACCGAGTTGATACCGATAGGGCGATATTGTGGGCGTGACGGCGATTTCAAAATTTTTGGGGTGAGAATCGCACTGCTTCCCACACTCTAACCAAACGTCAGTTACACTTTAGTTTTTCCAAAAATTGAAAACTTTGGAGCGCTTAGAGAGAAATTATGGACAAACCGTAATTCGTAACATTGTAACCGGTGAACAGTCATCACCGGTTCTAATGTTATTCCCCTTGAGGATAAGCTTGTCCTCTGAAAGGCAGTTTCCAGATTTCCACTTTGAGAGGGAGCACCTCTCCTCTATCAACTCCTCCATCCAGCTCCTTCAGACTAGCCAGCAGCAATTAGCAAACACCTGTTGGGACTGCAAATCTGCTCACTCATTATATGAGCTACTTCTCAGTGCCACACTGGTAAAAAACATTGTTGAACAGTCAGAGGAGCCATGTTGTGATGACTTTCTGAAGGCGGACATTCAGAAAGGGCAGGAGTTTTTAAAGAGACAGTGGCCCAATTTCAAGGCGTTAAATTACAATGTCAAATTTCTTTTAAGTTATATTTGACATATAATACTTCTTACAACTGAAGGTAACATAGTTACTTGACTGTGTTATAAAATACAAGAGGAACCTCTAAAGGAACTTGAATAGTAACTGTATCAAAGAGAGTAACTGTTTTCTGACCAGTGAACATGCAGCCTGATTGATGGTAGAGTGGGCGCTCCATACGTGAAAGCTTGATTCTGACCTTGAACCAAGTGCTGCAGCTCATTTCATTCTCTCCCTACTTTAACGGGTGACTCCAGTGCCTTTGGAGCTTAACATGAAATTGAGCCGTCTTCATGTCAGTGTCGTAATTTGCTGAACGATCTCCAGATTTCATCGGTAGAATATGTTTCCCCACTGTTTCTTGTAGAACCAGACTCAAACGAACACTGCGCTTATAAGGAGTCGTTTACCAGCAAGTGGAGGAATGGCGAGTGTGATCAGAAACATACGTTCATGTGCTACGATGAGTCACTGACTCTGGTGAAGGAGAATAAAACCTGGGAGGAGGCGTTGGAGCACTGCAGGACTCTGAACAAAGTCCACAGCTACGACCTGGCGCCCTCTCCACAGACGACGACAACCACTTTGCACAAGAGAAAGCCCAACTGGCAACCACTGAGGAGGTGGGGCTGTTTTGCCTCCGGTGTTCTTTACCAACTCATCCTCAGTGTTTACGTTGACTTCCTGCTACATGTTGGTAGATGTGTACGGGCCTGCGTTACCTTGGTGACGAGTGGGTCTGGGTGGGTGGAGAACCGGTGCAGGACCAGACATTCCAAGCTGCCCGACTGAGAGGTGTGGAGTCCTGGAGAAGAACGGCAACTCATCAGCAGCAGAGACTGCAGCAGAGAAGGAACTTCTTTTGCTACATAAAATCTTAAATGTACTACATTATTAATCCTGTTGTAATTATAATTACGAGCTTTTACAAACTTTTATAGGTGAATCTATTAAAACATAGATGAAGATTAGCATAAGCTATTATAAGCCATTTTTGACCCATTTATTGTTTTCATTTGTCAATCAGCAGCTGTATGTAACCAACACAATTCAGTTAAATTACTTATTTAGAGATGAAGTAGGTAACTTTTAGAAAACATATTGTTATAACTGTCATGATAGCAGAATATGCAACAATGTGTAAAAAAAAAAGTTTGAGCTCCTCTGTTCCTTCCTGCCATGTGAAGAAACAGTCTGAGCTAGGAAGAGGGTTTCAGTGCTGTCAATCAAGCTTGTGATCATGCCACCAGTTTCTCACAACGGAACCTGTTAAGAATGCTAAGACTAGTTAGCCTGTCCACCAATCAGCTTTTGAAACTTGTCCCTGGTGCTGATCGTGATTTATTTATGCTTCACATTTGTAATATATGAAGCTGTTCTCTCTCGAAAATTTACATGAAGTGAGTTTCAGAAACATTATGTCATCCATGTTCTTCTGATTTTGGCTATTCACTTTCTTACGCTGGACTTGGAAATTTTTTCAATTATTTACAAATTAGTATACCCTCAGTTCTTCTATTCCAGTGGTTCCCAAAGTGTGGGAGGAGTTCGGGAAACTGTATGGATGAATAAAAAAAATAAATAGTTTAGATGGTTTGTTGTTTGTTTTGTTGCAAATAAAAGTCAGTGGAGTTTGAAAACAAAATATGTGTATAGGGTTGTATCTGGTTCAACATAATGTGTGTGTCCGGTTGAATTTTCTTTTTTTTTTGGTGAACATTTTACTGTAATCCAGAGGAACTCTGGAACGACATGTTTACTGGATTAAACGCAGCGATGCATGAGCATCACGGGGCTAAAAACACACTTTGACTCCTTCTCGTAAGCAAACTTTAAAATACAGCTACCGTTTTCATAAGATTTTTTTTTTAAAATAAACTAATTCACTAATCGAACATGCGTGCGTCCAATTTTGCACTTCAATAACTTCAACTTCAAGTTGTTAGCTAACTCCTCATAAATATTATATCTGGAATAATGAAGACATTAAATACAAATTATAAGACAATCTTTTGTAGAAAATGGTTTAATAGGGAAATATTACTTGTAAGCCAGTTACTAAATCCAAATGGTCATTTATTGTCTTATTCTGACTTTGTTACTTTTCCAACTTCCTGTTACTCCTAAAGAAAATGCTGTTGTGTTTGATGCAATCCCCAGTGGGTCATTAAGGTTTTGTCATCTTTAGTTCCAGGTCAAATTCACTCAATGCCAAATTTTGATCTAAACTCCATTTATATTGACTCTGATTGTCCTTTTATGTGTCAGAAAACAACCAACAAAATATTAACAGATGTCGTTTTTTTCACCAGCTTCTATATTTTATTGGTCCAACATTTTTGAAAATATAAATTGGAGGTGGACTTGGTTGCTCCTAAAGAAATACTTAATAAACAATAAAGTCAGAGAAGTTTCTTAAAAAAGTCTTCTTTTGCTCTTGTCAAAAATGTCAAATTAAGCAAAGTAGGTTGATTTGAAGAAAATTATTTAATATTTTTCATAAAAGTTACATAGTGCAGAAGTATACTAATTTTAGTTAAAATTGTAAATTTAGGTGTATAGGGTTATATCAGTCATCTTTAAACTTTATATCTGTGACTCCACTGAGTGGGAGAGTACGGGAAAGTGTCCGACTCTGGCCTGGACTGATCCTCAAGGTGTCCCTCGTTGGTGGCGTAAGGACGGCTCAGGAAGTCCCTGATGTGTGGAGGCAAGGAGAGGAAGAGCCACCTCTCTACCAGCAGCCGGAGTTCTGTCAGGTCCGCCATTCGCTTGAGTTCCGTCAGCACAAGCAGCCTTGCGCCTTCGTTGTGTATCTCCAGCTTCACCAAGCTTCCTGCCACCTCGCACAGCTCTGACGGAACCCTGTCCAGCATCCCATGGATCACCAGAACGCGGAGGTGGCAGAGCTGCCGCAGGCTCCCCACGGCCCAGCCGTGACCCACGCCGCCCTCGCTGCCCAAGCGACCCGAAAGGTGGAGCTCATGCAGGTTGCGGAGGGAGAGGACCCAACTGGGGATCTGTGACGCCTGAGAGAAGGTGATGTGGAGAACCTCGAGGCGTTCCTGGAGGACTGCGAGCGCACCGGGATCCACAGCCGCCGGGCAGTGGAGCTCCCTGTGTCTGTGGGAATCATAGCAAGGGTTTATGGGACATATGGAAGTTGATCAGGGTCCCTGGAAAAAAAACTCACTTTAATCTCAGAATTTCTATTTTTTTCTTGTCAGAATTCTGCAGTTTTTCTCAAAATTCTGAATTTTAGTCTCAGAATTCTGAGAAAAATCATCCAGATGAAGTTTGGACTTTTTTCAATGGACCCGATTCTCTTCCCTAGGGTAAAAGAAGTGCGTCTGATTCCCTGTACAACTCACCTGAGTGAAGTCATGTTTGCCACCTGCAAAGTGAACTTAGCGTCAGCGATGAGCTCCAGTTTGAGGGCGTGCAGCTGGCTGAGGGTGAACAGAGCCGGAGGGAGGCGAGGCAGGGCGACGAGCTGCAGGGTGCTGCAGCCCTCCGCGTCCACGCTGCTCAGAGCCTGGAGCTTCTCTTCTCCCCAGTGCCTTTCCAGGCTCTGCTCCAGCAGTCTGCTCTCGCTGACCGGCGACAGGAACATGGAGAGGCGCTGCACCAGCAGCGGGTCGTTCTGCTCCAGCATGTGGATGAGGAAGGCCAGGTCATTCATCAGATCGGGAATGTCCTTCAGGGAGTGGAAGGAATACCTTCGAAGACAGCTAAGGAGAGGTAATGAAACAAGAAAATAATTCCAATGGAAAGAGAGATGTAAAATAGAACATAAGGAACGACACATCTAAAAAAAAAAAACCAACAACAACTAAGTAACACAGAGAAATGCTTCATTGATATTCTGTGCATTCTCTTTAAAACACAGAAATGCAACAAAAGTGTCAAAGTCAGAGACTTCTTTGACACAGCTACATATTTTTTATTTAGTTTTTTCTTCTGCTTGTTTTTTTTCTTCTTTTGGTTTTATTTATTGTGTAATTTTATATAAACATATGTAGATGTATGCGACTACATGTTTTATATTCTTTTTGTAATGTGCAAAAGGTAATCTGTACTTTGCTCTAAAGAAAAATAGAAGAAAAATTTGAAGAAAAAAAGAACACCTGCATGCGATTATTTCTGCCCCAGCTATTAACAGTAATCTGAGTTACCTGACACTATATCTAATTTTCTTATGAGAATATATTTTTGAACTGAATTTAACTTCAATTCAATTCAGGAATATTTTATTAATTTCAAAAGGACATTAAGTGCTATTTTTATCAAAATGTCATCCATTTTTTTGGTGAGAGTTCACAAACATTTCATATAACATGACTAGCAGATTATGGTAATTTTTCCATAAACCCCTAAAGATGCATTTAAGAGTCAAGAAAAGTAGATATTTTTGTTTTGTCCTTTCCTTATTCAAACCCTCCTTATGTTAATGAGAGCTGCCTTCCATGTCCAGGATATTTAGTAGTAAAGTATTTAGTACATTTAGTAAAACAGTATATTGTGGCGTATTATAATGTATGTATTTCACACCCGGATGTAAACTCTTATTGTGAAGGGCAGAAGGTGAGGTCGTCTTCCTACCTGATGAAAACAATTCGCTGTCACGCCAATGGCTGCCAGTCGTTAGGTTTGACAGCTGCCGTCCTTTGCTGCCGCCTAGTTTCTCGTTTAATGTTACGCAACAAAATGACACGTTTGCTTTTCATCCTACCGCGCAGCGTCCTGCGAGCATTTTTAAAGTGAAATAAAGCGAATAAAAGCAGTATCAGGCTTCCACTTGTCCGGTTGTGTTTGCTAGCTAGAGGCTCGAGCCGTTCACAGCTCCTCTCTTCCGGTCGTTTGATATTCGCGGTCTTCGGAGGACCCGGATGCAGACCCGGCATTCGAACACAGTTTTTTCCCATAAGCCTGGGAAACGTCACTTATTACGTGAAAACATAGAATTCGGCGAGTTTGATGTCTATGACGTCGCAAATGTCAGGGTGTTTATTTGCACTGCATTCTTCTCGAGCCCTCTGTTCGCCCTCGTTTGTCTCAGAGCCCGGATTAGTTCTTGTTCATCTCGCCTTTAGAGCAAACCTTTCTTCAAACCAGCGAACCTGGCAAGCAGAATGAGTTCTCCAATTGTTGAGACCCAGCGCATCACGGTCAACGTCCTTAGGGGGCTGGTGCACCGACTGTTCATCAACTTGACCTGGATGGAGTACCTGCGTCTGGCAACAGGGGACCCCGCTCGCACCACTACCTGCGTTCTGGTCGGGATATTGAAGGAGATCTTGGAGCTGTTTGTTGCGAACGCTCTTGAGAGTGTTCCGATCGACAACTCCAAGATCGAAGAGATGGTTGGCAACAAGTTGCCGGAAGCTTTTGCTAAGGTCATCAAGGTTGGTGGAGATTTCCACACCGAACGCACGGACAATTTAAACCGTCTCATTGTCCGGTATGTGGTCGAGAGAGTCAATTCCATCTTAGACTCTGACTCTGAGAACAAACGCAGCAATCACGTTGATGACTTGATCAGCGATATGGTGGATGAAGTCAAAGGCATGGTTAAGGACCTTTTTGTCCGATTGCATGCATCTGGCAAGAAATCCAAGAAAGTCGTCCGCCCGGTCGAGCCGAGATCTTTGCTCAAAGGCCTGAATGAGAGGCTCCAGGGTTTTTTCAGGCGGTTCGCTCGGAGACATTCATCACGAGTTGCTCCAGTGAACCTCCCAGAAAACCCTGGACCCTCTCAGACCATGACCAAGGCCACGGCTGCCTTGATTTCTTCTTTGGAAGTGGACGCCAGGTGTGACATCTCAACTCTGGAGCCCGACATTCCTCCAGATGATGTGTCGGACATCATAGATCTGGACACCTATCCAGAGATCCCATCAGCCAAAGACTCTCAGGCCTATCGAGTCGAACTGGAGTCAAAATTTGGATTACCCAGGGAGGCCTTCGTTAACGCGAAGACCTCACTGGGAGAGGATTTTGAGTCTCCAGGTTTGATGAGGTTACGCCTGTGGAGCATCGATTGAAGTAGTGGGGTGAATTTTTAATTAGTTGTTAGTTAGATAGTTAGGGATTTTTTTACTTGTTCGCTTAGCATTTGCTCGTTTTTAATTGTTTGCTCACTAGTTAGGTCGTTTTTTACTCGTTCCCTTAGTTGTTAGATCGTTTTTTACTTGTTCGCTTAGTTGTTAGGTCGTTTTTTACTCGTTCGCTTAGTTGTTAGATCGTTTTTTACTTGTTCGCTTAGTTGTTAGGTCGTTTTTTACTTGTTCGCTTAGTTGTTAGGTCGTTTTTTACTTGTTCGCTTAGTTGTTAGGTCGTTTTTTAATTGTTTGCTTAGTAGTTAGGTCGTTTTTTAATTGTTTGCTTAGTAGTTAGGTCGTTTTTAATTGTTTGCTAGTAGTTAGGTCGTTTTTTAATTGTTTGATTAGAGTTACAATGGTTATAAAAAGTGCCAGGTTTTATTTCAGCAAGACAAGCATTTTTGCAATGAAATTGAAAAACAAACAGAAATCTTCCAAGGAGCTGCAGTGAAAATGAGGTATTTTCACTGCAGCATAAGTGTGCACACCTTTTAGAACTGGGAGTGTGGCTATTTTCAGAGGCTACAAAAGAATTTCCAGTTCATTAAATATACCATGGGACACTGTGAAGACTGTCACCATCAAGTGCTACAACAGTAACATCAGCAAGAACAGGACGTCCGTCCAAACTTGACAAAAAAAGACAAGAAGAAAACTGGTCTGGTAAGTTGCCAAGAGGCCGACAGCAACGCTGAAGGAGCTCCGAGAATTTCTGGCAAGTACTGGCTGTGCAGTACATGTGAAAACAACCTCCCATCTTCTTCATATGTCTGGGCTGAAGGAAAGGGCAGCAAGACAGAAGCCTTATCTTTCAAAGAGAAAAACCAAAGCCCAGCTTCATTTTGCAAAGACACATCTGAAATCTCCCAAACATATGTGGGAAAATGTGTCACGGTCTGATGAACCCAAGGTCGAACTTTTTGCACAAATTTCCAAAAGGTGACTTTGGTGCAAAAACAACAGTGCTCATACCTACAAAAGAGCACCATACTTACAGTGAAGCATAGTGGAGGTATCATCATGCTTTGGGGCTGTTTTGCTTCAGCTGGAACTGGGGCCTTAGCCAGGGTGGACGGAATCATCAACAGATCCAATTATCAGTCAGTGTTGGCACAAATCCATCGGGCTTCTGTTAGAAAGCTGGAGACGAGGAGGAACTTCATCTTTCGGCTTGACAATGACCCAAAGCTCACATCTAAATCAACAAAAAATGGAGTGAGATAAAAGCTTTGGAATGGCCCAGCCAGAGTCCAGACCTCAATCCCACCAAACATCTGTGGGGTGATCAGAAGAGGGCTACGCACAAGAGATGCCCTCGCAATCTGTCGGATTTGGTGCGGTTTTGCAAAGAAGAGTGGGCAAATATTCCCACAAGATGTGCCACACTGATAGAGTCCTATCCAAAAAGACTGAGTGCTGTTGTGAAAGCCAAAGGTGCTGCATATTTAGCCAACCAGGTTATTGTAAGTTTTTCACAGAATATTTTTATGCTTTAAAAGTTTCTGTTTGTTTTTCAATAGCATTGTACAGGTTAAAGGTCACGTTAAAGGAGGACAAAGTTGTGAAAATGTTTGTCTTGTCATGTGTTTACATCACAAAAACCTGGCATTTGAACAGGGGTTTTTATATCCATTGTACGTCATTTAAACTTACTTATTTAGTTCTTAGGTTTTTTTTTATTTGTTAGTTAGTTAGATAGGTTAGTTAGGTCCTCTCCATGGGCTGCCACCTTAACGTGGTGGAGGGGTTTGAGTGTCCCAATGATCCCAGGAGCCGTGCTATCTGGGGCTTTATGCCCCTGGTAGAGAGGTTCTAGGTGAGGAACCAGACTAAGTGCAGCCTTACAACCCCTTATTATAAATTCTGACAATGTTCTTAGTGTTCCGTCGCCCGGATGCGGGCCACCGGGGCCCCACTCTGGAGCCAGGCCTGGAGGTGAGCCCATTGGAAGGGAACATGAGTCCCCCTTCCAATGGGCTCACCACCTGTAGGAGGGGCCAAAGGGCTCGGGTGCAGTGTGTGCACGTTAATTAGCATGAACTTAATCCATTCAGTATGATAAATATTGCTAATAAATATGAAATTATGTAAAATGCTGATATTAAGAATAAAGCTAATGCAAGCGTGATGGCTATCATTAGCATATTGAGTCACTAGTCTATTGAAACTACCAGTAGGATAAGGGTTACTGCTAGCATGTTGACAAACAAAATTAGATTAGTGAACTAACACAATTCAGTATGCTAACATTAGTGAATAAATTAAAATGATCCAAAATGCTAAGTTTAGCTTAAGTGATGCAACATGCTAGTGACTCAATACGCTAATAATAGCCATCCTGCTAACATTAGCCTTGTACCTAAATTAAGCATTTTACATCATTTCATATTTATTGCATATTTATTATCAATATTTAACCTACTGAATGTCAATGAAAGTAAACATTGACTTGCTTACATTTTCAATGTAAACAGGTCAATGTTTACTTGACTGACTCACAGGTGCTGCTATCACCTGTGATGTCACAGAGGAGACATGAGACATGACAATCATGATGTCATGATTCACATTGAATGATGTCAGTGACATGTATTGATGCCATTCAATATGAATGATGTCAGTGACATCAGTAGCTGCAGAATGATGTTGACCACTGAGTAGCTTTAGCATTTTATGATGAAGTCTGTTTTGTTTTTTTCTATATTTCTCAATTATTTAAAAAAATATTTCAGCAAACTCTTCCGTCTCTCTCGTGTCCCCAGGTTGCGTGTCCAGGTCTTCATGCCAGGCAGCTGGACGATGTTGCTGGTGAAAGCCGTCCTGACTGGCATCGTCTGTCTCTGCTCACTTCCTGTTTATCACTCAGGTTCACAGCAACTGAAGAAGAAGCAGCAGGTGGAAAAAAAAAACCCTCGACAGTCTCGACTCAAACTGGAGGACCTTGAACCTTCTTTAAAGCCGTGAAGCTTTAAAGGAGGCTTAAAACAATCGGTGTTGGTTACTTGGACTTGACTGACATGATCCACCAACTGGCTCAGCTTCCAGCTCTTCCAGTTGGTTTCATTGGTTATGAGTCCATGAGTAAAAACAGAGTTGCCTGGGTAACATTTCAGTCAATTAGTTGAAGCTAACATCAGGAAACTTCTTCAGTGTGTCTGGTTTATGTTTGATATTGGAATATCAAACTTGAAACTAACTTCACTGCGGTCAGTAACACAATAAAAACACCAGGATGAAGTTTGTTTTGGCCTGTAAAGATGGCACCAAGCAACTGCGCGAGACGTAAATGTCTTACGCCGTGATGTTGGTTCCAAAGCTCTATTGGCCAATAGTGGAGGAGCTGGACATAGAAGGCAGCTCTCCTCATTAACATAAAGATGCACACAGAGATGACAAAAGATGGAGGGCTTGTATAAGGAAAAGACGAAACAAATTTCTACTTTTTTTGTCAAAAACAGGTGAAATGAAAAAGAAAATGTAAACATTTCTTGACAGAAACTCATGTGTAAGGACATGAAAAACTAAATATGTACTTATGATTTTATTTCTTATTATGTCAGTTTTGGTCCTCCAGAGATGTTGGGTCCTGTCTCTGAGTGCAGTCCAGTCCCGTCTCGGTCACTCCGAGTCGGGACTGGACTCCAAGGAGGAATCGTATTCCGAGTTATGGGCTATTTAAATTATAAAAAGTGCTAAAAAGCTTTAAAAACTGAAGTGATTGCTTTAGTGATTGCTTTTAGTGACAGATTAAACAACCAATAGTCTGATTTCACAAGCCAATAAGGTTGATTGTCCCGCCCCTT